CTGGAAGGGCATCCACTGCATAAAATATATGCTAGATAAGTTGGCGATTCATTCCGCTGTGGCGACCCCAGATTAATAAAGGAACTAAGCCAAAAAGAAAATGAATGAATGAATATGATATGCATTCTGACCCTTGGCTGCCTGTTTCACAGAGCTGTTTCTTTACTATTACTAAGTCTGTCCTGTTTTCAAAATAAGAGTCCCACTTGCATAGTTTGTTAAATACAAGCTTAGAAAAATGAAAAATCATTATGATTTGATATTTATTTGGTTTCCACGTGTACTTTCTGAATTATTTCAAGTTTCAAGAGTATTTATTGGAAATAATTAAACCTTCATTATTACATTTATCAGAAACAAAAATATAACATTACTCATTATTCACAATATATACACAATTTATTAATCTTTTTGTGTGCCACCCCAAGATTTGGTGTGGCCTTACTTGGCCACCCCTAAGAACATTTTCTGGGAGTGCCACTGTTTCTACCATAATATAAAAACCACTGCCCCATGCCTTCTTCATGTTGGGGTGCTTTTTTCAGTTTATTCATGACAATTAGCATTTTTATAAAGTTATTATATAATAATATTATATTATCAGTATTATTTATTATATGCATATTTATATTTGTTTTAATAAAAACAAGTTTGGATGTGCCCACCTGTCAGGTTTTGGAGATGAATGCATTACCATATGGGGCATAAGAATAGAACTCGTGTTTGGATATAACTCTGTTTGACCACAGTTTGTTATTATTGTTCTTTTATCCATTTGCTGGAAATTAGAACTGAATTTTGAAATAGTTTTGAAAAAAATCTTTGCACTTAGCAAACGAAATGACATATATAGGTATATAGGACATATATATGACATATATAGGTATATAGGACATATATATGACATATATACTGATGAATGTCTTCAGTGGAGTGCGTACAACATCGTTTCCTTATCCACGAAAGTAAATGAGTACAGTAAAGAGTAAAAGTAAAGTAAAGAGAAAGTAAAAAGGCCGAATGGAGGAGGCTCATTTTTTATTCTTGCACTGCAGATGTTCTGTTTAAATCGTTAGTGAAGCATTCAGTTTACACTTACAAAGTCTGCCATGTAAATAGCAAATGTGCCATGGCGTGAAGCAACTGACTCTTAAAGGGAATGGTAGATAAGACTCTGATTGATTTAATACACATTATGCTCAAAACACTCCCATAACTCATCAAGAGAATAAGCACAACTCTGTTAAACCATGTGCTAGGCGTAAACTGTATTTTTTCATCCTTACAATAGAAAAAGTAGATTTGGATGTCTCCATTATGCTTTTGCACCATGCGCTTTAGACTGTGCGCCTAGATCTTTAAAAAAGAGCCCTATGTCATTTCCAAATATCAAACCCCTATTTTTTAGCTATGATGAAGTCTTATCTAGATTTTCATTCAAGGGCACATTTAGACAACCTATTATGTCTAAATTCTTTACATTTACCAATCACACAGCATCATACTTAAAACTACAATACCAATGACATACTTAAAACTACCATACCAATGACAAATATCCAAGCACATTCTCACAAAGCTAGATTTCCATGGGCTTTTTTTCTTCTTAACTTTACTTCTTAAAACTTTTTTCAATCTATACGTTGTAGCATCTGCTTCCAGATGTACAAAAAAGGCAGAGGTGAACCTGGTCAGCCGTAGTCCTCATAGCCTTGAAGAAATCCATCTCCCTTGCAAGGTGCCCGGCTATAGCTCCAATATTGATCTAACCTTCGAAACATACACTTCGGCCCCTGTTACCTGTCAGTCAGCCTGCGGGGTGAAGCAAGCTTATATATATAACGCTCATGCATACAACAACAGCATTATTCACAACACAGGCACTAAGATGGGGTCACTGTTATTCACTTGGGCTAAACTTTTATTTCTCGTACAAACAGCAGATCTGTTCGGCTTTAAAAAGAGAAGCTTCTTTCAATGCTCTCCCATAACTTCAAGTGGTAGAGCGTGAGTGCGAGCTTTGAATAATTTAAGATTATCTTAATATATGTTCGGCTGGAGAGCAGTGGACGTTCTTTATCGTTGTGTCTGTATTCAGCGCATGACGGAGGTGACAGGGGCCGTAAGAGAGACAAAATGTCCCGTCATCTTGGTTTAATTATGGAGTCTGAGCTGTCATGGCTCTTTGTGCGAGCGCTCGCCACTTTCTCCACTTCTGGCCCATGCGCCGTGTCTCTCTGGTTGACACATGATATGACTCTATCAGAATTATTTGCCGCAGAAGGTCCCTGTGCACATTAAGTAAAGTTCAAGTGGAAGCTCAGGGATTTGATCGCTCCGATACTCTCCCTCTTTCTTTGACGCTGTTTTTTTTATTTCTGATTCCTGCCATGGATCCTTCACTGTCTCTGTGTGCTTTTAGCTTATGCTTTTTTTAATTTATTTTTAAGAAGCAAATGTCTGTGAAAGGAGTCATTAGTGTTGCTAGTAGATACTTTTAATGAAGTTATGCTGCTTGGTTTGAGTAGAATGGAGGGATAGAATGTAGCTCTTTAATAAAAACATATTTTTTATTGGAAAAAAAGATTGCTATAAATATTTCAGTAATAATCAATCATAAACACCAATTATTCAAACAAACAAATGCATAAACAATATTTACAGAACATATTATTTAGTTTACTAATACTATTTAACTGATTATGGATAAGTAATATTGTAAATCATGCTACTTTGTATACTACTACTACTGATAATAATAATAATAATAATAATAATAAAAATGATTAATAATAATAATAATAATAATAATAATATGGGGTGCTGTGTGTACATTAATAAGGAAAAAAATGACTTTAATGATTTTAGCCAATAGCTGCTGTGTAACAGTGAAAAAAGTGAAAAAAGGGGTTTAAAGGGGTTCTGAATACTTTCCATACCCACTGTATGTAGAGTTAGGTCCATAAATATTTGGACATCGACACAATTCTAACATTTTGGCTCTATACACCAACACAATGGTTTTTAAATAAAAACATTGCATAGCAGGTGACGCATCAGCGCAGTAGGTAGTGTTGAAAGAAGGTCGCTGGTTTAAGCCTTGGCTGGGTCAGTTGGTGTTTCTGTGTGAAGTTTGCATGTTCTCCCTGTTTGTGTGGGTTTTCTCCGGGTGCTCCGGTTTCCCCCACAGTCCAAAAACATGGGGTACAGGTGAATTGGGTAAACTAAATTGTCCGTAGTGTATGAGTGTGAATGGGTGTGTATGGGTGTTTCCCAGAGATGGTTTGCAGCTGGAAGGGCATCTGCTGCGATAATATCACTGTGGCGACACCAGATTAATAAAGGGACCTAGCCGAAAATAAAATGAATTGATGAATGAACATTGCTTAACATTCCACTTTTCCTTCAAAAACTCTTTGGTTGCTTTTTCAGTATGCTTTGGGTCAGTCTCCATCTGCACTGTCAAGCACCTTCCAATATGTTCTGAAGCATTTAAAACATAATCAATAAATACAAGAGAACCAGTTCCATTGACAGCCATACACCATGTCACTACAACCACCATGCTTCACTGCTTAGGATCATGAGCAGTTCCTTTCATTTTCCATACACTTCTCTTCCCATCATTCTGGTACAAGTTGATCTTGATCTCATCTTTCCATAGGATGTTGTTCCTGGCTTTTTTAGAACTCTAATCTGGCCTTCCTGTTTTTGATGCTCACCAATGGTTTACATCTTGTGGTGAACCTTCTGTATTCAATCTGGTGAAGTTTTCTCTTGATTGTAGACTTTGACAGACATACACCTACCTCCTGGAGAGTGTTCTTGATCTGACCAACTGTTGTATAGGGCGTTTTCTTCACCAGGGAAAAATATTCTTTGGTCATCCACCACAGTTGTTTCTGTGGTCTTCTGGGTATTTTAGTGTTGCTGAGCTCATTGGTAAAATCTTTCTTTTTAAGAATGTTCTAAGGAGATGTTCTGACCAGGCCTAATGTTTTTGCAATCTCTCTGATGGGTTTCTTTTGTTTTTTCAGCCTAATGATGGCTTGCTTGACAGATAGTGACAGCTCTTTGGATCTCATCTTGAAAGTTGACAGCAACAGATTGAAGATCTGGTCCAGATCTTGACCTTTTATTTACTTATTGTAATTGGGATAACGAAGGAATAGAACACACCTGGCCATTGAACAACTTAGAAGCCAATCGACCAATTACTTTTGGACCTTTAACAAGTAGGAGGCACATATGAAAACTGTTGTTATTCCTACAGTGTTCACCAGATTTGGATGTAAATATTCTCAAATTAAAGCTGACAGTCTGCAGTTAAAGCACATCTTCTTCGTTTCATATTGGTGTATAGAGCCAAAAATGTAAGAGCTCTGCTGATGTCCAAATATTTATGGCCCTAACTGTATATACAGTATAGTAAATGTAGTATACAGTAATAATAATAATAATAATAATAATAATAATAATAATAATAATATAAATACTACTAATAATAATAATAATAATAATAATATAAATAATAATATTAATAATAATGTTACTATTATTATATAGGTAGTAGATAATATAGAATATACTGTATTTTAATTATATTTTGCCTTAATTCCAATTATTTTAATTCCAGTAACAGCAAATCTTGTTTCTCTCACTTTTATCAAAGTTGTTCTCTTTATCCAAAATAAATATCCTAGAGAAAAGAAGGCTAATAAAATTACACCAGCATTTTCTCTGGAGATCTTTAGATGAGCCTTACTTTGTAGCTGTTAATGGCCAAGCCTTCATAATAATACAGGTAAAATTTAAAACAAATCTTATTTAGTTTAAAAAATACACACAGCAGTGTAAGGAAATCTCTTGCGAAATGAACCTGTAGGGTATGTAAGTTATAACATTTTCATAACACGCCAAATTACCTGAAATGCTCCAGGGTGTGTTTTCTTATTTTGTTGATAAAAGCTTCTTAATTTTTCAAACTTTTCTTTTCCCAGGCAATGAGTTTGGCCATCCAGAATGGCTGGACTTTCCTAGGAAAGGAAACAATGAGAGCTACTATTACGCCCGTCGCCAGTTCAACCTGGTGGACACGGAACATCTGCGATACCGACAACTATACGCTTTCGACCGTGACATGAATCTCACAGAAGACAAATACAGCTGGCTGACTGCCGCTCAGGTGATTCCTGCAAGTGCGCGTCTCAAACTGGTTTTAACCTACAGATGAAACCCGCTGTAAATGTGCTTGCTGGATCTGTCCTTGCCATCTGTTATGCTGTGGGGAGCTATTTATCTGCTATGATAAATGGAATATGAGATGCATGGTCCTTATAATAATGAATTTGCATAATACAACCAACCAGCCATGACGCGGGAAGACCATTTCACACATGCACGCACACACATACACACAGACACCTTATGATGAAGAAAGCAGAAATATGATTTTCATCATCTTTAACAAAATACTTTATTTTAATTAATCTTTAATTAATTCTTTCAATCATTTGTTAGCTTTTTTTGTAATTTATTTATTTGATATTTATGCTCACATACTTTTAAATGTTTGATAATATTATATTGACACTATTTGCGCTAACCCACACCTTTTTTTCTCTGTCTGTCTGTTTGTTTGGTTGTTTGTTTGTTTATCATTATTATTAGTGGTTGAAGTAGTAGTAGTAGTAGTAGTAGTAGTATTTTGTTGTTTACATATTTATTAACCTTTACCCACATGTAATAAATTTATTAATCTATTAATTTATCAATGCTTTAAAACATTTTGTTCCATTTTGCACCTTTTCACACACTCATCTTATTTATGTATTCGCAGTGGTGTGGAATGTGTTTGCCCTCTTAACCTCTGTCACACTTTACGGTTTCAGATCATCAAACTACTTTAAATGTCAGTCAAAGATAACACGTGTAAACACATTATGCAGTGAAAATTTTTATTTATTTATTTTTTCTTTCTTTCTTTATTTATTTATTTAAATTTTTTTATTAAAGAAAACAAAATCTGAAATTACAGCTCAAACTTTGATTCTTGGGCACACTTCTGAATGGCTGAAAAAAAAAAATGTCTTTGTAGTGGTCTAGTCCGACTTGAATCCAATTGCCGTGGCATAACCTTATAAAAGGCAGTCCATGTTTGAAAACCATCCATTTTGAGTGAATTACAACCATTTTGCAAAGATGAGTGGGGCAAAATTCATAATAAATTTAATAAATTCATAAATTCAAAATGCACGGACTCATTGCATGTCATCGAACACATTTGATTGCAGTTTTGTATTTAGTTTTTATTTCAAAACTGCATTTACTTGTGCTATCTTTAAATATTATTTTAAATTTGTTCGATGATAATTTATAAAGTGTGACAAACATTCTAAAAAATAAAAAATCAATAAGAGGATGAACACTTTTTCACACCACTCACTGTACATGTTTATCAATTTATATGAATGGTATAGTAACAAATTTATAACGTATAGTTTGTGGTAACAAATTTACTTACATTTACTTTGGACCCTTTTAAACCCAACCTGGTCAAAGAGAATTTTACTTTTTCTTCTCTTCTAGATGTTTAACAAACTGCTCAAAACTGTATAAATCCAACATATCAGACCAGCTAAAGCAAGCAAACCAGATTTTGAGTGGTTTAGGGCGATTTTACTGCAGATTTAGATCATGTAGAAGTAAAATCTAAAAAAGCTAATTTTACTCTGAGATTCTTTCAATTTGACAGTCATTTAAATCATTTACATCTAGTTTTGCTTTCTCTCAGGCTGCAGTCACGACTCTGAATCAAGATGACAAGGTGATTGTATTTGAACGTGCGAACCTGCTGTTTATTTTCAACTTCCATCCCTGCAACAGCTACACGGACTACAGGGTGGCAGCAGAGCATGCTGGGAAGTATCCTTTTAAATCAAGCTGTTCCAGAAGATGAGCACATCTTATTCTACATACAAATTCACCTGCTTATACTGTGCCCTAAAAGTATGCACTTTTTTGTGAAAAACAGTACATACTTTTTGTGTGTAACAATGGAAACTACTATTTCATTATTAAGGGACTGTTCCATTGCTTAGTTTTGTCTCCTGTCCGTCATGCTTGCACGTATTCCATGTGAAGTCAATCTTTCAAAATTTCTAATGCAAATAGGGTGCATTTCCATCAATTTGTTGATGTGTCTTAGTATTGGTAACCTAGCAATAGTAAACAAGGCAATCATAACAGTGACAGCTGATTAATCACATGGGTGTAATGTTTGATATGTCAGAGTTTAATTAATTCTCCCATTATTTGCATTAACTCTTTTTTCAAACAAATGTATTGTATCAAATGAAGTGTATTGTAAATTAAGGGGTTTTTATTGGAAATTTAGCATTTCCATCACTTGTTTCTCTTGAATATTTCAGAATGTGCATTAACACAGTGTTATGGAAACACATTTAATGTTTCAGAGTATAGGTAAAATCTGGATAACATTCAATTAGATAACATTCATTGAATTTTACATTAATAATTATTCTAAAGCCTTTATCTAAACCTTTCCACTTAACTCACATATCCAACATATTCGTAGTTTTCAAACACATTTAACTCTTTTTGTAGTTTTAACCTGCTTGTTAATTTGAATTGAGAAAACTCCCTTTATAGCTGTTTACGACCATTGTTTAGTCATATGTTAATATTTTACAAAATCACGGTATTCACAATTTTCTGCATCTCAGACAACAATGTTGTAAAGATTTATAAAAGATAAATCACTGTCTGAGCAGCTGAGATTAAGTATGGATGTAAGCATTACAATCATGTTTTCAATATTATTGCAGCACACTCTGAGCATATATTACTACAATTTGTTGTTCACTTTTGGCATCTAACAGAGCATTTGGACCCAGAAACTGTGATGCGTGAGGTCAGGCTTAACAAACGGATTGAATCCTCGTCAAACACACTGTGTGTTGTGGGCAATATTAACAGTTAGAGTGTGTACAAATCTGCACTGTGAATTTCTAGCAGAAGTAGACTAAGTGGGTAACTTCTTGGAATACTTTTTTAACCATAGTAGATAGGATTTGGGACATGCTAATTTGTCTATTAAATACTATTTGGGATGGATAGTATGTGAATTGTGACAGCATTGGTGATAAAAGAATGAACAAACGAATGAACGAACGAACGAACGAACAAACGAATGAATAAATGAACCAATCAATAAACGAACCAACCAACCAAATGTCTTAATAGTCATTAAAAATACAACCAAAATGAACTGAAATCCTTTGGTTGCTTAAAAGAAATTAATTAAGTCAATCAATTTAGTAAATAATAAACAAATAAGAGGATATTAAACAGATAATAGAAACCAAAACATACCATTTCAAGATGCACAGTTAACATAATATTTATGGCAAGAATTCAATTGTTGATATCAATAATACATATCCTAAGAATGAATAAAAGTCAAAACGGCTTGCCATATAATATTTGATATTTAGATAATTATTGCACTATCCGTGACAGATTAAGCATAGAAATACTGTTCTTCTCAGTGGATTGATAGACTGTGTTTACATGCATATGCGATCAGTGAAATAAACAGCAAGTACGTGAGAGGTTGTCCAAATATCCCCACAAGTTGGTTAATCAGAAATTGCTGACCTTGGGATATTTTTTGGTCCACATGAGGAAAAGAGCTTATAAATCACAGAGAATATATATATTTTGAAAATCTGCAAATTGTTTCCTTCAAAGGGTTGAATCTACAGTATGTACAGTATAAAAATCATTGCATCTATAGAAAGTCATAAAAGATTCAAAAACAAGTATGTGTGTGTCCTTCAGCACTTTGTGGCTCTCTTAGAGGTCGATCTGCCATTGGTTGTAACACGTTTCCATTGATGTGTAAAGACGAGTTTGTACACTAGGGAGGAAGGGGAAGGGCAAAAACCGCCTGTCAAGCCTTGAAAACACATTTAATTGGCTGCAGAAATGATAGAGGTGACTGTCATCACACAGAATGAGCTGTCCGTGCCATTGTGCGTACATGTTTGTGTGTTTGCGCACATGTGATGCTGCATTGGGGCATTCAGGTTGCACCAATGGGACTTTGTGTTTATATGGAGATTCCAATTAAGAGAAGAGAACCAGACACCCTACAACGAAAGAAACTACGCCTCATCAAACATCACCCACTCGCATAGATTTGCTCTCACAAATACCCTCAGTCACCAACATGCGCCTTTGCCTGTTTACAACCCACAAAGATGAAGCTGGTACAGTTGTTGTTGTTTTTTTATAGAAAGTGGGTTTTTCAGTAGTGTAAAAAGTGTTTCCCCCCTACTGATTTCTTATTTTTGCACATCTGTCACAATTTACTGTTTCAGACCTTCATTGTAATTTAAATGTCATCTAAAGATAACACATATAAAAACGTCATGCGGTGAAGGTTTTCATTAAAAAAAAAAAAAAACTACAGCTGAGGCAAACTTGGGTTCTTTACTTTTGAATGGCCAAAGAAAAAACAAAATAAAGACTTTGGAGTGGCCTAGTCAACGTCCTAACCTAAATCCAATTGAGATTATGTGGCATGACCTTAAGAAAAGGTGGTTCATGTTTAAAATCCATCCAATTTGGGTGAATTAAAACCATTTTGCAAAGATGAGTGGGATAAAATTCCTTCACAGAGCTGTAACAACACAGTGATGAAAACACTTGATTGCAGTTTTGTATTTAGTTTTCACTTCAAAACTCCATTTACTTGTGTTATCTTTGTCTTTTGTTTTGAATTTGTTTGATGATCTGACAAATTAATGTGTGACAAACATGCTAAAAAATAAGAAATCAATAAGGGGATGAACACTTTTTCACACCACTGTACGTTTTTATCCATTTATATTTATGTTATAGTAACACTTTGTTGTTGCCTTAGTTGTATATCCACACATTTACTTTTTTCCCTTGTATAACACTTCTTAAACAAGCCTGGTTCAGTGCCTTTAATTAGAGCTGCTCTCTAAACCTGGTCAAGAAGAATTTTACTTAGAGATGACAGAGGTGACTTTCATCACACAGAACCAGCTGCCCTTGACATTGTGCGTACATGTTTGTGTCTGTTTGTGCACATGTGATGCTGCATTGGAGCATTTAGTTTGCACCAATGGGACTTTGTGTTTATATGGAGACTCCAATTAAGAGAAGAGAACCATACACTCTACAACAAGAGAAACTACGCCTCATCAAACATCACCCACTCACATAGATTTGCTCTCACAAATACCCTCAGTCACCAACATTCGACTTTGCCCATTTACAACTTGCAAAGATAAAGCTGCTGTTGCTGTTTTGAATTTCTCCAATGCTGAAAATTCTGTCTATCATAATATGTAGTGTATTTATGTAATTGACAGTGTTTATATTAGTGCAAGAACTGTAAAATTGTATGGAAATAACATTTTGGGGTGTTTCCTAGTACTGGTTTGTGGCTGGAAGGACATCCTTTGCATAAAACATATGCTGGAATAAATGGCAGTTCATTCCGCTGTGGTGACCCCTGATAAATAAGGGACTAAGCTAAAGGAGAATGAATGAATGATGATGATGATGAATACTACTTAAATGTAAATCAATTAATTATATTATTTTTAATATTTACTTACAAAATGTTGGTTAACGCTGTTAAATACATATTTTAAATTGTTAATAAATTTTAGGTTATTACAAAAGCAACAATAATCATAATAATGTTGTATTTGTTACATACACAATGTTAGATTTACATCAAAATAAATACACATTTAATGTGAATAGTAGTAAAGTATTATCATTATCATCAACATTAATCATAAAGGAGAACTAAAAATGTCAAATAATACAATTCAGACATGGTAAATATTTAGAAATTTTGCCTAACTAAAATCTGAGCTGTGGTTTGAGCCTTAACTCTATAAATCTGCATTCTTGTCCTAATTCTAGTCTTCAGTCTTTCTCAAGGCGTTTGTTTGCGTCCAATCATGAATCTATGTATGAGTCCCTTGAAACATCAGGCCTTCAGATTGGATGCATCTATACCTCAGATCAATAAAACAGGAGACTGTGGTGGCAAACGTGCAGGGGCAGCTGCTTCAGATGGGGAGGGATCTATTTATTTTGCCCCCAAGAACTGATCTCTATGCCGAGGGAGGCTTGAGTCTCCGCTAGGGGTTTTCTGCAATCTTGATGCTTCAAGGGAAGAAGAATGTTATCGATACCATGATATAGGAGTATCTCCAGACTCTTTCCGCGTACCTCTTTACACTTTTATGTTTCATTCAATGTGTTTTTGCTCTTACTTTTGTGTCTTCTCGCAGTCAAGGAAGCAGACAGGGATACTTCTTGTCTGTGATAGTCAACAATTGTTTAGGAGGCACACTTTGCCAGGCAGCAGTTTGATAAATAAGTAAAAAGACAAACACTATGTGTGCATTGCAAGGTTGAAGCCAGTGCTAAAAGAATATTGTTGCTAGATGCCACAAGAGATGTGTTGTTTGAGACTGGCAATATCCTTTTAACTTTTAAACATGATGAAATACTAGAATTGTTCTTTACAAAATGGAAAAGTTTGGAATTGTTTCAGTTGAACAAGTTGTTTCCCATTGGGTTTAGTGTACGTGTTTTTGTTATAGCAGAACTTTTTTTCACATAAATATGTTGAATTGACACTGACCAGCCGCTTTATAAAGCTACAGCTTATTATTGCCGAGTAAAACCACTTTTTGCTTCCTATATTGGACAACTGTTGGGCCCAAAGTGAATGCCAAAGAAAATCTCCCCCATGCCATTACAACACAAGCAGTCTAAACAACTGACACAAACCACAATAAATCTAGCTGTTTGTATCAAATGAAAACCCTAAGATAAAAATCTTA